GTCAGCCCGACCCAGATCAAGTCCAGAGAAAGTGCTGCGACCTCGCTGCTGACGACGCCGCCCAAGGAGGTGCGAGACCTTGTCATTGAAGGGGTAAGGCAGTGGAAACATAGCCGCACGCTGGATCACGTACCTGGGGCGATTGGGGCCGAGCACCTGCGGCATCGGGCCATGCGCAAAAGCATATTGGCACTCATGCCCAAGCAGCAAGGGCCAGTGAGAGCGGCGCGGTCAGGGCCCCCCCTGGCGCCAGCCGTGAGGGAGCAGCGATGACTTCAGGAGAGCGCAGACTGTCCGCGGCGCAAGGCGCCCCGCGCTTCGCATGGCCACCTGCGGCACAAGTGCGGCGCGACAGGTTGGCGGAATATGAGAAAGTGGACCTGTCGGAGAAGCCGAAGCTACAGCGACGACGGCTCGGACAGAAGGCGCGGGATCAGGGACATGGCGAGGATCGTTATGACTACTTCGAGTTTGCGACGACGTTGCCGACAATCCCCAACCCCAACCGCTGGACAATCCGACCGCGTTCCAGCGCGACCTCGACAGCAGCGGGGGAGGTATCAGGCAGCAGCAAGGCGATGGTGGAGGAGCAGCAGATCCTGAAGGATATCGGCTACGCATAAAGAGGTGGGGACGTCGAGTGTGCACGGACGGCGCTGCCTCGCACTCCAATCTCCCTGAGTGCAGGCGATGCGGGTGGGCCGCGGTGGAGCTGGGCCAAATGGGTGGCCTTGTAGAGCCAGATACGGTAGTGCACCTGGGCGCAACCAGACGGCACCTTATCCGGAGAGGTACGCCGCCGCGCAGGCGCAGAAGGTGGCAGTTGTCCCCGCGGTGGCGGTCACGATGTCGACGTTCTCCTCCAAGATTGTCGACGAGTCAAAGAAGGATTGGGAGTGCAATGCGGGGCCCAAGGCCAAACATGCAGGATTGGCGACATATACCACGCGCAGGAGCGAGCCGAAGCTTGAGTTCCTGCGGCAAGGGTCACATCTGTCATGCGACCAGGACGTGGAGAAAGGGTGTGACCTAGACGATTGGCTCGGCAACCAGCGGGCGGACGTCTTCGCAGGCCTGGGCAGTGACAACGCGCGGTTGGCCGAGAGTTTCGTGAAGGACTGCAGGTACATGTTCGAGAACGCGGCGGGGGCGGTGGCGACGTTGGGCCAGTTTGCGCAGCGCCATGCGGAGTGGGCGCAGAAGCTGGAGACCAACGTGATGGCCGAGAACCGCAAGGAACCGAGGACCGAGGACGAGGGCCGCAGATTTGGACTACCACACTTTCTGGCACGACCCCGACCCGAAGGCGCCAACGGAGTGGAGGTGTAGGCAGTGTAACGCAGTGGCGAGAACAGAACATGTTGTCAGAAGTCTCCGTACCAAGGCCAAGTACAAGTACTGCGAGCCCACGTTGGTCGAGACTTGGTCTGCGGTTGTTTTCTTTCGGGGCCATCCTGCGCTCGTTCCTGTGAATGGATCCTCTGCTGAATTCGTTGAAGCGAAGAGGCCGCCCGCCCCGTGTGCCCCACGCATGTTCCACGAGGGGAGATGGGGCACAAGCCGTTTACTTTCGGCCCGATCACGATATTCAAAGCGCGCAGTATAGTATCGGAGGTGGTCGTGTCAGAGGACTGAAAGCCACGTGTCCTGGGCAGTCGGAGCACTTGCAAAGCAGCGCAGAAGATAGTCATCACGCTCGACGTGGACCAGAGGCATCCGAAGTCTGGAGTCTTCTCGGGAGCTGCAGGAGGAGGCCGCGATCGTGACGACGGAAGTGCACCGCCCAAGGGGCAGCCAGAATCTGGGGAGAGCGTTAGCATAGCGGCACGGGTGCCTACTGAGCCTACATCGCGTCGAAGTCAACACGTTGCCCATGCTGGACGACAACCTCGAGTGAAAGGGGCCCGCCGAGCCCGGCGAAGAGCTGACGGGACTTGGGGAGAGCGCCAGCATAGCGGCGCAGGTACCTACTGAGCCTGCATCGCGTCAAAGTCGCCACGCTGCCCATGCTTGACGACAGCCTCGAGTGAAGGGTCCACCGAGCCTGGCGAAGAGCTGACGAGACATGGGGGGAGTGCCAGCATAGCGGCGCAGGTGCCTACTGAGCCTACATCGCGTCAGAGTCGCCACGCTGCCCATGCTGGACGACAGCCTCGAGGGCAGGTGCCCAGTGAGCCTGGGGTTGGAAGGATATTGCCCCAGGTGCCCAGGGAGGTGCACGCCCCTGGACTGGGGTCAAGTACGGCGCCAGTGGCCATTGCATAGCCCTGGACGGCGCGCAGGAAGGTCGACGTTGTTTCCTTCCTCCCCACGTGGAGCGAGACGCAGAGTCGGAAAGCAAAGTCAGGGCGCCCCAGGTCGTGATGCTGGGATCGAATTGCCCCAGGTGGCCAGTGATGTGAATTGCCCCGGGCTGGGAGCAAGGACTGCGACGCGGGCCATGTCTTCCTCATCTTCAACCGTGGCGAGGCCGCTGTCGTGGGGGCGATGGCCTTGGCCAGGCTTGCCCTGTGCTCGGAAATGGTGGGCCACGACCTGGCGAGGCTGGGCGTGGCGATTCCATGGGAGAGTGCAGGGGCCAGGCGGCCTCGCCCGAGCGCATTCCCCAGGTGGCCAGGGACGCGCATTCCCCTGGACTAGGGACAGGCCCTACGACGAGGACAAGTCCGTCTTCCTGGCCGGCGGCCTCCCCCGATGCGCTCACCCGACCTGGGAAAGCTGAGACCCCCCTTGCGTTGAGGAGGGAATCGCTGGAGGTCGGGCAGGAGCCGCCAGCAAGATGGCCAAGGACCGCGTGCGCTTCGAGTTCCGCGTCGACTGGGTGCAGGCGGGCCCCCCGCATGGATGCGGGCAGCCTCCGATAAGTTGCCCAGTGCGACCGACATGGAGCAGGTCAGGTCGGCGGCGTCGGCCGCGCTGACGCCGCCATCCCGCTCCCCATGTGGAGCTCGATGCAGTCTTGGAAAGTATTGTCAGGGCGCCCCAGCACATGAAGTTGGTATTCTTCCTCCCCAGGTGGCAAGGGATGCGCATCCCCTTGGATTGGGGACAGGCACTACCACAAGGGCCAGTTCTTTCTCGTCGGGGGCCGTGGCGAGGCAGCTGTCGCTCCATGGGAGCACTGGTCTGCTTGCCGTGTGCTCGGACATGGTGGACTGCGACCTGGTGTGGCTGGTGATTCCAAGGAGGAGCGCAGGGGGCCGCTGGTCTTGTCCGCCCGCGCTGCTTCGGCCAGTTCGGTACGGCGACAACTTCAAGACCGAGGTGGAGGTGGTGCACAGCCCCAGGTGGCCAGGGATGCACATTCCCCTGGATTGGGGTCTGGACCGCCAAACGCCAGAACGGCAAGTCGCCCTCGGTGCTCATTGAGGGAGCTGGTGTGGCTGGCAGAGCACCCTGAGGCGGCCGCCAGGCGCTTCCGGACGTGCAGCAACCCCCGCGCGGCGAGGGGTTAGGCCACTGCTTGGGCTCGGTGCTGGAGGTTGCAAATATGCGGAATGGAGGCACCGACGCCCACTTTTGGAGGGAGCAGGCCATTGACATGGAGTGGATCATGGGCCTGCTATTGGTGCCGATGGCGAGGGAGGCGCATTCCCCTCGGCGGCGCATTTCCCCCTGCGCGGCGAGGGGTTAGGCCTTTATTTCGTCGTGGACTGCAGTGGCCCGGATGTGCATTCACTGGGCGGCGCGGGCAGTCCCCCTGCGCGGCGAGGGGGTAGGCCACCACGTCGGCCTCCGCTGAGGCCGCGGCCCACCTTGGGCCCGCCGCGTGTCGCCGCGGCCTGCTCCGCGTGGGGAGGGATCCGACCCCCCCGTGGAGGCGCGTTCTCTTCCTCCTCTTCCTCCTCATGCTCCTTCTCCTCCCCCTCCTCCTCCTCCTCCTCCTCCTCCTCCTCCTCCTCCTCCTCCTCCTCCTCCTCCTCTCTTCCTCCTCCTCCTCCTCCTCCTCCTCCTCCTCCTCCTCCTCCTCCTCCTCCTCCTCCTCCTCCTCCTCCTCCTCCTCCTCCTCCTCCTCCTCCTCCTGCTCCTCCTCCTCCTCCTCGTTTTCCTCCGCCTCCTCCTCCTCCTCCTCCTCCTCCTCCTCCTCCTCATCCTCATTCTCCGCCTCCTCCTCCTCCTCCTCTTCCTCCCCCTCCTCCACCCCCTCGTCAGTTCAGTCTGACCAGTTGCCACATGAGACTGTCGTTCGCACGTGCACTTTTCCACCTGTGCTATGCAGTTGTGCCCCGCCTGCCCTTCAGGGGACCGCACCGCCGGAGTTGGCGCCGAGGCTGAAACTGAATTGAAACTGGACCATCGAGTGGAGATGTTGGAGCCGCGGAGGCCCGCTGGGCCGTCCATTGATGCTTTTGGCTTGTCTTCCAGCTACTTTGAGTCGGTATTCGGCTGTTTGGGGGTCAATTGAATAAAGCCCAAAAGTGCACTGGGGAGGCGTTTTTTTTCCGGCGATGATTGCGCGAGTGGATGACGGGCCTAGGAACTAAGTTGGCGAAGGGCCGAAACATGTACAGCCGACAATAGCGCATGACAGGCAATGTTCACGAGAAAGTGGAAACTACTACTATCAGGAGGGGATCAGGTATGAAAAGTGAGGTAGAGAAACGATGGAACCCACTTATGGGACCACAAAGCGTGTGGCCAGGAATCGTGGGAGGGATGTGCTGAAATGGGCGCGGCAGCATGCGTACACCGCCACGAATCGTGTAAGGGGTATGCTGGAACGTGAGCGATAACATGCGACCGGTGCCACTGGCGGCCTTCGGTGGAGCTCCCAAGGAGGCCACGTAGCGAAGGGTATGCTTAGATTGACATGCGAGCAGATGCAGGGATGGGAGAGAAGTGCGGAGGATGAGCGAGTAGGAGATTGGGGGAGAGGTCAGGTGAGTTGCGGAGAGCTACGAATTGAAATCGATGGCCCAATTCCACAGGATGGCTGGAAAACAAGAGCCAAACCAAATCTCACACTCCATGTCGTTCAGGGACGGCGGCGGATATCAAAGTGGCTTTTGGGCGATCACCCGCACCAGGTTGATCCTCCAGGCTTTCTCTCTGCTAAGATGTTGGCGAAGTCAGTTTCGGCGGAGGCAGAGGCTGGCAAGTTCAAGAAGTGCGCGCTAAAGAATAATGTCAGGCTCCCAGTCAAAATGACAAGCTGGCCTTTGATGCCGACGCTCTGTTGCAGCTCGGTGAGTGATCCGCGGTGTGTATCTACTGCAAACGCATACAGCCTTATAGATGGTATTGAAGATGGCCCTGTAGATGGTACCACAGATAGACCTGTGGATGGCATTAAAGTAGTCCCTGTCGATCGCCCGTGGATGGGCCTTTTAGATGGCATTGACGGTGTCCCTGTAGATGGTACCACAGATAGCCCTGTAGATGGCGTCAGGTTCTTCCCTGTGGATGGTGTTCGGTCCTTTCCTTTAGATGGCATCAGAGCTGCGCCTATAGATGGCATGAGAGATATGCATGTAGATGGCATCGGAGATGGACCTGTAGATGGCATCACAGATAGCCCTGTAGATGGCGTCAGGTTCTTCCCTGTGGATGGTGTTCGGTCCTTTCCTTTAGATGGCATCAGAGCTGCGCCTATAGATGGCATCAGAGATATGCACGTAGATGGCATCGGAGATGGACCTGTAGATGGCATCACAGATAGCCCTGCAGATGGCGTCAGGTTCTTCCCTGTAGATGGCATCAGAGATAGCCCTGAAGATGGCATCAGAGATACGCCTGTAGATGGCATCGGAGATAGCCCTGTAGATGGCGTTCGGCAATTATAAGCCATCCTGTTGTGTTGGGTCCTCATTTTGAAGATAGCGGTCACGCACTCCTTCATTCCTTCTTCCTCCCGCTCCTCCCTCCTCTAAGCATCAGCATCATCATCATAATCAGCATCATCATGGTTATCATCATCAGCTTCTCCTTATTTACCATCATCATCATCATTATCATCATCAGCAGCATCAGCATCAGCATCAGCATCAGCATCTGCATCATAATCTGCATCATCATCAGCGACGTCCCTCTTCTCCGCCTCTTCCCCCTCCATCCTTCTACCATTATCATTATCAGCAGTATCACCATCATCAACACCACCAACAGCAACATCAACATCAATAGCATCATCATCATCGTCGTCATCAGCATCATGATCAGCATCATCGGCATCAGCAGTAGCACAAGCATCGTCATCATTCACATCACCAAAATCAGCAGCATCATCATCGGCATCATCATCAGCAGCAGCAGCAGCAGCATCATCATCATCATCATCATCATCGTCATCGTAATCGTCATCGTAATCGTAATCATCATCATCATCATCATCATCATCATCATCATCATCATCATCATCATCATCATCATCATCATCATCATCATCATCATCATCATCATCATCCGTAGCCATTTTGGCTCAAGGTCGAAACGTTTCCCTGGCGCTTCGACCTTGGTCGCAGCCGACGGGGAGCTCGAGCTGCTTTGGGAGGCACAGGGCCTTCCCGACCGATTTCGCCGACTCCCGACCAGTGGCCCTTCAGTGGGTGGGAGTCATCTCTCTCGCATCCAGGTTGCACCTGTTTGCACCTTTCAACTCACAACTCTCGACTGGAACCATGGGCTCGCCTGCCGCGAGCGGTGATGCTCTAGCTCAGATCATGGCCCGTTTCAACGCCGTGGATCAGGGACTCGCAGATTGCAAGAAGCTTGGCGAAAGAGTCCAAGCCAACGAGGCCAAGATGGCCCTATTCGAGGAGAGCACCAACAAAAGCTTCGCCGAACTCCGCTCCAAGCTAGACGCCATGAACTCTGGCATCTCCACGGACAAGGCCGACGTCCTCATCAAGCTGCAGGAGCAGGTCACCACGCTGAGCTCGCAGGTCTCGACAATTTCGCGGCCTCCATCGCTTACTTCTTCAGCTTCGTCTGGCTCCCAAGTGCGACGTCCTCGCGCTGCCGCAGCCGGACCATATGACGAGAGCAACCCGTGCCGCCTCTGGGTCAGAGGCTTCCCGCGCAAGCTGATGCAGACGCAGTTTGAGGCGCACTACTCGGTCCTCAGGTCCAATCTTCCATCTGAGCTGGCATCCAAGGTGGCGCCGAAATTCCAGAACTTCAAGTACTCATACGCAATCGACTTCGAGAGCAAGGCCCAAGCCGACAGCTGCTGGGGCCACCTCAAGGGCATCACGATGAGGTGGATCGACCCGCGCACCTCGCTGACCCACGACCTTCGGCTCGGCAAGGACCAGCCATTGCCCGTGCGGCACAAAGCCTACGCGCTGGGACTCGCCTACAACATCATCCAGACTGAGATGAAGAGCAAGGGGTTGTGGAACGCAGCCGCCATGAAACTCGGCACCAACCCGTTCCAGGGCATCCTCTACTTGATGGAGAACGGCGACCCATTCGAGATGGTCAAACTGAAGGAGGTGATCGGCAACGGTGACGGACGCTTCGAGATCGACGTCGACGCGGAGAGCTTCAAGCACTTCCGTCTGGAGGAATCGTTCACGAACGGGCTCTCGGACCGTGTCCAGGCGCTGCTGGCTGAGTAGGAAATTCCTGAGCAGATATCCTGTGCCACTCTCGCACCGCCCCTCTCGCGTCGCCGTCTGGAGGACGGCTCCTGTTCGCCGAGCTTTGCAGATCGTGTGCGCGGCAAAGCCTCGCAGGCTATGGGTGCCCACACACAAGATCCGCTGGATGGCAGATCTCCTCCTCCCGCGCCTCCTCCTCCACTTGGTGCTGAAGAGAGTGCAGCTTTCATAATTCGCAACAAGTTAAGTATCGTTTCATATAACTCGGCCACTCTGTTTGGTAGCGTGCGCGGCTCACATGCACGGCAAAGCAAGAAACTAGCAAAGATAACACAGCTTATCAACAAGTATGACATTGTCCTGTGTCAGGAAACTCACGGTTCTGAAGGCGACTTAAGCTCTCTAGAGCGCGACTTCCCATCTCACGTCCACTTCGGCTCCTTCTGCTCTATCTCGTCTAGTGGTGGCTGCACTATTTCAATACGTAAGTCTGTGATGAACTGGTTTGAAGGCCAGCCTGAGATCACCCATATCAGTGGAGGGCGATGCTTCTCCGTACGGGTGACGGGTGCGAAAGGCACGATGTTGATCATGAACATACATATCGAGCCCCTCCTCCCTCATCAAGCAAAATATGATCTCATGTCGCGTGCAGCTCGAAGTATACCTAGCAGCAACACGTGCCTCTCCTTCTTGGCTGGAGATTTCAACTTTGTTGAAGAGGATGAGGTGCGCATCCCCCTCGACGGCAGCGAGCCCACGGTAGGGAGCACCACTCTGGCCAGGCACTTCGGCGCCGTCTTCCCGTCCTTCTGCGAGATTGCGCAGACGGACTGCACCCGCAGGACTCAAGTGCGCAACGTGGTCACCTCGGTCGCTCGGCTCGACAGGATCTACACGAATGCCCCCACCGGTGAAATATTAGACTGGCACCCCAAATCTGGAACTATTGGTCTCGCACACAACATCGATGAGGTGTCCGATCACATTCCTGTGTTTCTGCTGCTGTCTCCTGGGTCCTCGAAGAGCCAGAGCATCCCTAGGTGGGTCTCTGAGCACCCCGAGTTCGGTCAGTTGATTGAATCCCTCATCGAAGAGGTAGGCCTCGACGGCTCCCCCTTTCAGCAGCTGCGCCTGCTGAAGGACATCTTTTTCGCCGCTAGGGAGGAGCTGACACATCGGATGTTCAAGGGCGGGGTCCTGACCGACAAGCAAAAGATCGCTGTGTGTTTAAAAGCCATGCGGGCCCTTCGGGCTCACTCGCCTGGTTCGTCCTGGAGCCAATCCTCTTCCTGGGTCAAAAAGTGTATGAAAGCTTATCCCGAGTTGGCTAGGTGTATTGATTCTGACAGCTGCAGTTATTTCGACTATAACGCGTTCCATGGTCATTTGAATGAGCTCTGCAGCGCGGTCATCCTGGAGGATCTCGCGCAGCTGCCTAGCGCTGAGCACGGTTTACAGGAAGTCGAGCAGCAGCGAACTCGACTTCACCAGCGTCTGAAGTCTTGGTCGCCGAAGCGGCGGCGTCTCAACTTGAGCGGCATTTCTGCGCCTGACGGCTCCCCTCTTGGCTCGCTGGAGGAAAGTGCCCAAGCGCTGGCGACACATTGGGGCGAGGTACATTCTCAGGGACCTGGGCGTCACCCGAAATTTCTGGAAATCCTGTGCGAGCTTTCCGAAGATATTCCTCGGGCTGCTCCTGGTATTGAGTGGGAAATCGACTTCGGGACCTTCCAAGGGATCGTCGTTAGTCGCCGCGAATCAGCTTGTGGTCCTGATGGAATTCCATATTCGTGTTGGAGACACGCAGGAGAGCGCGCTCACCGAGTGATATTTGAAGCATACCAAGCATTATGCGCAGGAGCCAGCTTGCCTTCGGGGTTTAATCACGGGCAAACGGTGTTTCTTCCCAAAGATGTTCTTCCAAACGATCATGAGTCTATAGTCCGTCCATCTAGCCAAGTTCGGCCGATCACGCTTAGCAGCACCGACAACAAACTCTTGGCTAGTGCGATCTGTGTTCCCATGGGACAGCAGGCAGTATTTTCAACCGACCCGATGCAAAAAGGCTTCGTCAAAGGCAGATACCTGATCGACAATATCCTCGATATTGAAGGCAAGTTTCTAGAATACGCTTGTTATAACGACTGCCCTTTCGCCGGCCTGTTCTTGCTGGACCTGAAAGCGGCGTTTCCGTCGCTGTCCCACAGGTGGATTCAGCACGTGCTGCAACGCATGGGCATCCCCGATTTTATCCTTCATGCAATTGACCAGCTGTATTCCGACCTCTACTCCTTCATCATTTTTGCTGGAAAAAAGTTCCCTGGGTACCGTATCACCCGCGGCATAAAACAGGGGTGCCCTCTTTCGGGCGCCCTCTTCGCCCTGGCCTTCGACCCCGTGTTACGGAAGCTGGAAAGGATTTTAACACGTTTACCGACACCTACCTCCCCGTTCGCTTTCGCTGACGACGTTGGCGCTGCGATGGCTGACTTGAGGCAGTCCTTGCCCGCGACGATGAAGCACTTTCTCAGGAGCTCGATCGTGACAGGTCTTCTCCCGAATTTGAAGAAGTGCGCGATTGTCCTTGCCGTGGAGTTCGACAGAACCGAGCTAAATAAAGAGTTCAAAAAGTGGGGGATCAACATAAAGCCCTTCAAGGTCGGCACCCGCGGGAAATATCTTGGGGTAATGATCGGCCCGACTGGGCCTGCTGCTTCGTGGCATCCTGTTCTGGTCAAATTTCTTTCCAGGATCGGGCATATTAAGACGCTGAAGCTCGGTTTAGTTCAGAACATCTACGCCTGCAACTCGCTAGCTTTCTCGATCTTGACGCACCTGATGCAGGTACTACCGGTTAGGCCCGAAGTGATCCGAGCCGAAACGAACGCTCTTCAGAGGCTGACCATGGGTCCGAGGTACGCCATCCCTTCCCTGGTCCTCAAGAACTCCCTGGACTTTGGGTTCCCTGTCGAGCCCCGCAACCTCCAGGCCACGAACAAGGCCGCGATGTTTCGGATCGCCATCCAGAGTTCAGCCTTCGCGAGAGTGAAGGAGCGTCTGCATTTTCTTGAGCACGAAGATGTCGAACGGCTGGCTGTTGTTCGGCATAAATCTTGGCTTGCTGAGTCTATGTGCGGCTCCCTGATTAAGAACTGGAACGAGCTCACGACGATTTGCCCGACGATCAACGAGTATACGCACGACATACAGCGAAAAGTCACCATTGCCGTTGCCAAAAA